TTATTGATGTAGCTGTGTGCGTTTTTGCTGTACTATCTATATCTGGAATCCCCTACAGTGTTTTTCAACCTTTTTTGTGCAAAGGCACACTTTTTTTCATGAAAAAAATCACGAGGCACACCACCATTAGAAAAATGTTAAAAAAACTACATGTTTGACTATATATAAAGTAATTCTCTTGAATAGGAATCAAACACAAAGAAATTATTTTATAATTACTTTATTATGAAATAAAAAGTATTTTATAATTGGACCCGGTGGCCGGACCAAGAGTAGATGAATGATGTGTATGTGTCATCCATAGTAAGTATAGTAATATTCCCCCATAGTAAGCATAGTAATTAATCCCCCATATAGTAATTCATCCCCCATATAGTAATTCATCCCCCATATAAGATCATCCCCATATAGTAATTCATCCCCCATATAGTAATTCATCCCCCATAGTAATTCATCCCCCATAGTTTTCATCCCCCATATAGTAATTCATCCCCCATAGTAATTCATCCCCCATATAGTAATTCATCCCCCCCTATAGTAATTCATCCCCCATATAGTAATTCATCCCCCATAGTAATTCATCCCCCCCATAGTAATTCATCCCCCCCAAAAGCATTCATCCCCCCCATAGTAATTCATCCCCCATATAGTAATTCATCCCCCATATAGTAATTCATCCCCCATATAGTAATTCATCCCCCATAGTAATTCATCCCCCATTATAGTAATTCATCCCCCATAGTAATTCATCCCCCATAGTAATTCATCCCCCATATAGTAATTCATCCCCCATATAGTAATTCATCCCCCATAGTAATTCATCCCCCCATAGTAATTCATCCCCCATATTAATTCATCCCCCATATTAAGTCCCCAAGCCCCCCCCTGTGTCAATCTTACCTTTGCTCCGCGCGTTCCTCTCGCCGTTCTTCCCGCGCCGTTCCGGTGTAGCATGAAAATCTGTCTCCTATGAGGATCTGTCCCCCTCGACGTATCTGCGCATGTGCCAGTTTCAGGCATTAGCAGCCGATCGGCGATCTCCGGCACATGCGCAGATACGTCGAGGGGGACAGATCATCCTGACAGTATCACGCTCCGCGGGAGATTAAAAGGTCTATGTTACGGATGAAATTGCAGTTTTTTCCCACGGCACACCAGACAATATCTCACGGCACACTATGCCGCGGCACAGTGGTTGAAAAACGCTGCCCTACTGTATAAAAAGCATTCAGCTAAAGAGGGAGAGAAAGCCTCTGGTAAACAAGTCCATGATCCAGGCAATGCATCATTAAACTTAATGCTTCTACTGCCATTTCTTTTTGTTCCCTTCTTGACATGTTTGTACCAAGTGAGCAGCCGATCTTGGTTTTAGCAGGGATTTCCCTTATCTTCTTTAAGAGATTTCATGGTTTTGAGATTTCCCCTTCCACAGATGTAGTTTTCACAAAAGCAAGATTCTCTCAACAAAGACCCAAGACTGTGCTGGAGACAAGTATGTAGTGTTACTACTTAAAAGACATTTAAGCAGAAACACAGAGAAAAAGTAAAGAACTGGGACAGCATCTACTTTGTTGTCTTTGGAGAGTAGCCCTTATTCTGACTATTATTTCTCAAAGTTCTTCTAATAAGGCAATACACATATCATACACATAGCAATTATATGTTCTTATTGAATTTGGCTACTATTGATTCTTTTCACCATTTGGATCATTTTTTATTTTTCTGACATTGTAAGTGATCAAACTAATAAGTTTCTTGTCAAACCATTGGTTGAGAAACTGTGCTGTATGTTATTTTATATCTGACAGGTCCTCTTTAAGCTGCCCATGGGTATGCAGTATATTATGTATTGATAATCAGGTGAGAGACCATGTCAATTCCTCTATTGGTCCTTGAACAATAAATATATTGGAACTGACAAGGGAAAGTATTAGGAGGTTTCTCAACCAGTGATTTGACAATAAACTTAGCCACATTAATCTGATCACTTACAGTGTCAAATGTCAGGGAAAAAACTGGTGGAAAGAATCAATAGTAGCTAAATTCAATAGGATCATAGAATTGATATGTGTCTGAGCAGTGAAGAAAGTATATCTAAAGCTTAAATTCTTTCTTATTTTTTTCTTTTTATTTTCAAAAGTGAAATTGTTGACATCCTTGTAAGGTCTTTATTGCTACCTTCATCCCCACTTGGGAAACTAGCCCTTTTTATTTCTCCTGATATTTATCGCTGGGACAGAAAGTGGTGAGAATCCAAACTGTTACAGTTGTCACCAGAGCAGAAATGAAGGGGAAAGCTTCTTGATTTCCCCTTACTTTGGAAAGGTTGTGTCCCAGATGTTATACTGTCCCCAAGATAGGAAGTGAGGGGGAATCAACCCAGTGGGAAACAGACATCTAAAAACTACCTATCCAAAAAAAAATTTTTATCTTTAGATGTAGCCTAAAGTGTTTTTAGAAAATTTTGCAGTCCTGCACAAGTTCAGGAAGGCTGATTGAATGCTGGATTTCCAGCAGGACTGTTTGACAGAAGCCAGTTATTAGACAGGCTTCTGTTGAACAGTCACCGGTACACAAGAACCGAAAGTCGGCCAGTTCAGCAGGATTTTCAGTCAGTGTATACATTAACATACAAATACAACTAACAGCTTCTAAATCTTTAGCCCTTTGGTAGGACAGACAGTGCAAGTTGAGTTTACAACTGACCGTTACATTTGCCAGCACAGCAGACAGGGAAAATGGAAATACGCAGCTCATGTGAATGAGAACATGTAACAGGTATAAAGTAGGTATTAGCGTCATTTAGCTGCAAAAGTGGGAATGCATTTTAAGGAATGGCTGTGGTGATATCATTTAGTTTTGTTCCATCAAGGGAAACAAAATCATCATTATTATTATTTTTTCATCGACAGTCAAGGAAATAGTCATAATTATGGCATGGATTTATGGAAATGTAAACAGTAGGGGGTAAAACAAAGAATTGTCATAGCAAGCTACTTATGTTTCAGTCATGGGATCATAAAGTAATTTCTCTGTAATTGATAGTCTTTTGCGTTCATAGAATGCAACAGATTATACAGAAATTTTAGAACAAGGTTTAAGAGGAAAGAGAGGAAAAATAAGAACAACTTTTCTTTTTGCTTTTGTTTCTCTAGGGCTGCTATTTCTGATCTCCTTCTGATAATGCTAATTGATAATGCTAGTCGACTGGCTGTTATGCTTATCCTTTGGCATCATGACTTTCTTATCAAGCATTCAGCTTAGCAAAGCCTGTGAATAGTTAGAAGCCCTTATTTGCATACTTCCGGGTTCTTGACTAGTAATAAATAAAAAGGTTTAAGTGATAGTTAGGCAACAAGCAATTCTAGAAGTAGATGTTAGCAATGCCAATCCCTATATTTCTCTAATGTCAGGTTTTATTTAAAACCTACAGTATATAGCCTGATTTTATGATGCAGCAAAATATACAAATGTGATTAGCATAGAGCAAAGTTATATGCTCAAATCCAAACCCCTTGAAGTGTTATCTTGGTTAAAAAAATGCCTGCTAACATTGCAAAGAAATGTTCTCAAATTATTTTAGAAGAGATGCAGCTCTAAACAGTTTTCAGATGTAAGATGAAATGTTCACATCAACGCTTTGTATTTTTAAGGACTGTTTAACCATCTGTCCTTTGTATATACTGTCATTCCAAAATATTACCAAACTTTTTCTTCATTTGCAGACACCAGAGATTTGAAAAGGCGTTCCTGCTTGCAGTGGACATTGGTGCCCGTGACCTTTTCATGGTACATAAATTTTAAATTAAATTAATAATTATTTTGCAGTTTTTATATTTGAATTTGCTAAAATGTATCTGGTCTCCACTAACAGATTGCTGAAGGTCAACTACACCAAAAACTGTTATAGTAATGGGTGAAAGGCTCATTATCCTTTTATATCTTCAAAAGTCTCCAATTGCATGATTTCTCTGTTATTTGTGTCTCCACCCTCTCCCACAAGGACAAAGCACTGGTCATACAAAAGCCAGTTTTTCAGAGGAGTTAAGTCAGCGATAGACAGTTCGAATTTCATTCTGCCTATGCACAGGCTGGTTGTACAGAAGTTGATCTATCGATTGACTTTAGTACAAGTAGCCTGTCGGATTTTTTTTCCTTGTTTGTATGATTACTGTCGCCAGCAGTAATCATTGCATTCTGACGGTAGGGAAAGAGATTCCCCGATCAACACTACATTGCAAGTTGAAGGAAAGTAATTTGCTTAATGTATGACCAGCTTTAATTAATAAGTACTCAATTAAAATAAAGTTATTTATCATTTTAGTTTGTCATTGCTGTGGCCATTGGGTGTGAGCTTTCTTATAGGGGATGTCTAGGAATGTTAATGGTGTCTAAGCAGTACTCTGAAAATTAATCTCTTTTTGAAAAATAGGAGTGTGTTGAGCCTCATAACTATATATCTGCATTGCATGAGATCATAAAAGTTACTGTTCCTCCAACTACTAATCTCACAAGATTGGGAGTGATATTTAGGGATGTCAGTACTGTGCTGCTCACTGCCCCCCTTGCTGGAGAGGAAGCTGTACCTGAGAACCTGCAGTACAAGGATGCCCATGCTTCTGTTTCTCCATTCTGTATCTTCTCTGCTTCTGAGCTTTTTAACCTCTCCTGCTGTTTGATTATTCTTTCATGAAATAACCAGTCACCAGAGGGGTTAGCTCTGACACGAGGAAGCAAAGCCCTGTCTCTCTGCCAAGATTGCCCCAGTAGTTTTCACTTAGCTTAGTGAATGTGGTGAAAAATCACGTGCCAGGATATATAATATTGCCAAAAGGACTGGGACACCCCTCCAAACCATCAAATTTAGGTGTTCCAATCACCTCCATGGCCACAAGTGTATAAAATCAAGCACCTAGGCATGCAGACTGCTTCTACAAAGATATCTGACAGAATAGGTCGCTCTCAGGAGCTCAGTGAATTCATGCGTGGTACTGTGATAGGTTGCCACCTGTGCAAGTCCATCCGTGAAATTTTCTTGCTACTATATATTCAACAGTCATCTGTTAGTGGTATTATAAAAAAGTGGAAGCAACTGGGAACAACAGCAACACATTCACGAAGTGGTAGGCCACATAAGATGACAGAGCGGGGTCAGTGCATGCTAAAGAGCACATAAGTCGCCAACTGTCTGCAGAGTCAATAGCTAAATTCCTCCAAACTTCATGTGGCCTTCAGATTAGTAAAAAAAAAGTGTGTAGAGAGCTTCATGGAATGGGTTTCCATGGCCGAACAGCTGCATCCAAGCCTTATATCACCGAGTGCAATGCAAAGCGTTGGATGCACTGGTGTAAAGCATGCCACCACTGGAGTGTAGAGCAGTGGAGACATGTTCTCTGGAATGATGAATTACGCTTTTCTGTCTGGAAATCCAGTGGTCGTGTCCAGGAATGGACTGACAACTCATGAGGCCCCCAGGCAATAGGGGATCATGGGGCCCCTGTGTCCTTGCCCAAACTCAAAAAAGCCTATGAAAACGGTACCAGGGGCATCTCATGGGGCCCCTTACTGACCCCGGGCCCTCAGGCAGTGCCCGAATTTCCAAATGGTCAGTCCGCCCCTGGTCGTGTCTGGGTTTGGTGGTTGCCAGGAGAACGGTACTTGCATGACTGCATTGTGCCAAGTGTAAAGTTTGCTGGAGGAGGGATTATGGTGTGGGGTTGTTTTTCAGGAGTTGGGCTTGGCCCCTTAGTTCCAGTGCAGGGAACTCTTTGGTGTCAGCATACCAAGACATTTTAGACAATTTCATGCTCCCAACTTTGTGGGAATAGTTTGGGGATGGCCCCTTCCTGTTCCAACATGACTGCGCATCAGTGCACAAAGAAAGGTCCATAAAGACATAGATGAAGGAGTGTGGGGTGGAGGAATATGACTGGCCTGCACAGAGTCCTAACCTCAACCCGATAGAACACCATTCCCATGCCATTAAAGTTCGTGTGCATGTAAAGGCAGGCATCCCAATACTTTTGGCAATATAGTATATATATTTATTTATTTATTTTTCTTGTACATGGGTGTGATTGGTGAAAGTCAACAAAGATTCACATCATTCCTTACCCTAAATTCTCTATTCCCTCATTGCCTTGCAGTAAAAAAAAGCATTTTTGCATCTAGTAAATCAATCCCATGGTGGGAAACAAGGCAGGGTAAGTCAGTAAAGCTACTTTCACACTGATCAGTAGCAAAAATGTATATGCATTTTTTCTGGGTTTGCGATGCGCTTTTTTACAGGACATGTAACTCAAAAACCACACCAAAATGCAACGTGGGTGCATTTGTGGATGTGTTTTTGCTGCGCTTTCCATTTCTCTTAATGGGGTGGTGCATTTTTGGTGCATTTTTTTAACTGCACCGAACTTGGACCAAAAATACAGCAAGCAGAATTTAAGAAAAAGGCAGTGGACCCACAATGGATCAGTGTGTAGAGTTTCATAGGTTTACATGGTCACACATTTTTCTTTTTTTCTTTTTTTTACGCAAAAACGGAAGAAAAATGAATTCGAGTAAAAGGAGGCTAATGGGGAAAATATTTGTTGTAGAAAACCTACAGACAATACTGTGATTAGTCATTTGCCCTCTGCTTCCTTTTTTTGTGCACAACTTTCATAGTACAGTACTGGTCCTCATTAATATTTCAGTAGTCACCTATGGCAGAATCCAGTTTCACATTTATTTTGAACTTTTCAGAAACCCACATCTGTGTGGAGGAACAACAGTAGAAAACATGATTCTTGTGAAATCCACATCTTCCTTTCATGTTTCTAGGGTGGATGAGTAAGTGAAAGTTGATTAGGTCGTCAAGACAACACAGATAGTTCTTTCAGATTGTTTCAGTCACATAAGTGGTATTAATAAACATGTTACTCCATGAACACTGTAAAAGCCTTTATTAATTAATATTGTAATAAATATATAATCCATTCCTTTATGTACTTGTATAATATCAAATATATCTTTTTTCTAATTAAACTATGCGCCCCCTACCCGGACATGCGAAATCGTGTATATATACATGATTTTGCGCACCCGTGCCGCCCTGTAGCAGTATTTCTGTTATAGGGCGGTCGGGAAGCGGTTAAATTTAGTTTAGGTTTCAATGAAGGTAGCATTAACAGTAAATTAAATTTCAGGTTTTAATGAAGGTAAAATCTAGGTATTTGTTCCCAAATGAGTTAATAAACTGTGTTTTCCTAAATGTGTTTTAATCCGCAACACTGTTCTATCGAAACAACTGGTACCCCTTACAGTCAACTTTACAGTTAAATTTAGTTTAAGTTTCAATGAAGACAGCATTTAAATTTAGTTTCAGGTTTTAACAATGGTTTCCATGTATTGCCTGTGTTCCCAAATGTGTTATTAGACCATGTTCTCCTAAATACTGGTTTCCTCTACAGCATTTTTCCATAGAAACAGCTGGTACACTTTACAGTCAACAAATTTAGTGTCCCCAGCTGTTAGGCATTTAAAAATGTTCCGAGGTGTCTGTTTAATACTATTGAAGAGTCACTTTCTGTAGACTTATGCTGGTACTTTTTAGAAGAATAATGTTCCAACATGGACCTCTAGAAGTTTTACATTTCTTCCCCTCTTTGTCCCACCCACCAAATTAGCTACAAAGTCAAATTAACCATTTCTTTAAAGCCATGTGGAGAAAGACCCACATGGGGCTCTTGTTTCAGAGAACCCCACTGCATAATGTCCTAGCAAGGTTGAATGGATTGGCCAACAGTGCCTCTCCTTTGCACACAGCATGTTGCTGTTATGCAGCCAACTGTACAGGCTTCTGAATAACAATAGACTCTAAATCATTACAAAACCTCTTCAGGAATGTGTTTGCTTTCCTCTTTTACATAATGAACACGTTATAGTTTTAATGGAGTTATTAACAGTGGACGCTAATAATGTTTATCCTTTAAAGTCACTTGACCCGCTGGATTGATCTGGCAGTTTAAATTATTAGTTAAGTTTAACTAAGAACCTTTGCTTTCAAGGGCTTGAAAATTGCTCACCAATTGTATGTTAGAAACACAATGAGAACCAATCTGATATTTTCTTTTTTAAAGCAGTAACTGCCGAAGTGCTCTTCATTGCTCACTTTAATCACTCGATACATTGTGTTTTCAGCATATATTTAGTGTATTTGAAACTGGAATTGTCTGAACTTTTGGCAGTGTTTACACTTTCTTCTAAACTGTCATATTTCATGCTTACTTTCTCAAAGTGCTATCTGTGCAAAGGCAATATATATATATATATATATATATATATATATATATATATATATATAAATTAGAAAAAAAAAATATATATATATATATATATATATATACAGTTGTGTTCAAAATAATAGCAGTCAGACATCACTAACCTGATCAATCACTGTTTTTGGTAGAAATGATATTTCTACATGGCAAATAATTTACTAGCAGGTGTAGTAGAGTAATAGAAATCCAAGAGACCCAACAGTCATGACATGCATGCTGCTGATTCTGTGTAATTGAATCACTAATTGAAAGGGGCATGTTCAAAATAATAGCAGTGTGGAGTTCTATTAGTGAGGTCATTCATTCTTTGAAAAACAGGTGGCAATTATTGCCCTTATTTAAGGAAGGAAGGCAGCAAATGTTGTACATGCTGGTTACAGTGCATTTCTCTCTGAAATTCTGAGGAAATGGGTTGTTCCAGACATTGTACAGAAGAACAGCTTACCTTGATTAAAAAGTTGATTGGAGAGGGGAAAACATATAAAGAAGTGCAGAAAATTATAGGCTGCTCAGCTAAAATGATAGCAAATGCTTTAAAATGGCAACCAAAACCTGAAAGACGTGGCAGAAAGCTAAAAACTACCATTCGAATGGATAGAAGAATAGCCAAAATGGCAAGGACTCAGCCAACAATCAGCTCCAGGAAGATCAAAGAAGGTCTAAAGTTACCTGTGAGTACTGTTACAAGTACAAGACGCCTATGTGAAGCCAAGCTATCTGCAAGAAGCCCCCGCAAAGTCCCACTGTTGAAAAAAAGACGTGCTGAAGAGGTTACAATTTGCCAAAGAGCACATTGACTGGCCTAAAGAGAAATGGCGCAACATTTTGTTTACTGATGAAAGTAAGATTGTTCTTTTTGGGTCTAGTGGCCGGAGACAGTTTGTCAGACGATCCCCAAACACTGAATTCAAGCCACAGTACACTGTGAAGACAGTGAAGCATGGTTGCGCAAACATCATGATATGGGGATGTTTCTCATACTACGGTGTTGGGCCTATTTATCGCATACCAGGGATCATCGATCAGTTTGAATACATCAGAATACTTGAAGAGGTCATGCTGCCTTATGCTGAAGAGGAAATGCCCTTGAAATGGGTGTTCCAACAAGACAACGACCCCAAACACACCAGTAAACGTGCAACATCTTGGTTCCAGACCAACAAGATTGACGTTATGGAGTGGCCAGCCCAATCCCCGGATCTTAATCCAATAGAAAACTTGTGGGGTGACATCAAAAATGCAGTTTCTGAGGCAAAACCAAGAAATAGAGAAGAACTGTGGAATGTAGTCCAATCATCCTGGGCTGGAATACCTGTTCACAGGTGCCAGAAGTTGGGTGACTCCATGCAACACAGATGTACAGCAGTTCTCAGAAACAGTTTATATAGTGAATGTTTGAGTTTATAAAGAAGAATACAAACACTGCTATTTTTTTGAACAGTCTAATATTCACTTTTCTTCAATTTTTTTAGAGGAACAACACAAATTTGATATATTTTTCTTCGTGTTTTGATTTGGAATAGAATGTGTAGTGTTCCCAATACATTTGTGTGTATGGAAATAAAAGCTATTAGAAGTATTTTGAGCTTTATTCACTTTTCTCAACACACTGCTATTATTTTGAACACAACTGTATATATATATATATATATATATATATATTGTGACAGTGTGGCGATCTGTCACGATATAAAAACCATATTTTACCCGGGATTCTCAACAAGGCAGGTTGAGGGGCTCCAGGGTACTTGTGTGATGCAGAGGAAAGTGGCTTTTCACTTTCCTCATGTCTTTGTAAAGTCCATTTTGGGACCTGGAGTCTGGAGATTTTGGAAAGTGAAAAAAGTGATTTGGGAAGGATGAAATCTCCAATCCTGGGACCAGGTTTTGGGAATGGCCAGGAGACTGATTGGTCAGGTGTGCATGGCTCTCTTCTAGAGTCAGGACCAGGGTTCTGGGCTCCACCCCAGCAGACAGGAGGTCACTGCCTTGGAGTCAGGAGGGCTTCACCTAGGAGAGGTGGAAGCCAGAGTAGCTGTGTGCGAAACAGCCATTTGGAAAAGAGACTGCAGGAGACAGACATAAGCCTGAAGTGGAAGGCCAGAGGAGGATTGTTTGTATAAGCCAAGAAGCTAAAAGTCGGTTTTAGAAGAATGACTTGCTGAAAACCCCTGTGAGGGAAATTGTTTGCTTTGGATTTATGGAACTTTTCCTTTAAATAAAAAGAAAGCGAGTTGCTCTGTGCTTTAAAAAGCTCTACCACTTGATGTGAGTTCCCACAATATATATATATTGTGGCAGTGCGGTGTCCTGCCACGGCCAAAATAAAGCTGAAAACCCTGGATTCTCAACCAGGCAGGTTGAGGGGCTCCAGAGAGTTGATGGATTGCAGAGGAAACTGGCTTTTCAGTTTCCTCATTTGTTCATTAAGTTTGTTTTGGGATCTGGAGCCTGGAGATTTCAAAGAGATCTGGGAGGGATGAAATCTCCAATCCGGGGTCCGTGTTTTGAGAACCCCCAGCACACTGATTGCACAGGTGTGTGCAGGGCTTTTTGTAGAGGCCTAACCATGGTTCTGGGCTCCACCCCGGCAGACGGAGTCAGGAGGGCTCCAGCCTGGCAGACGGGAGGTCTCTGCCTTGGAGTCAGGTGAAAGCCAGACTAGCTGTGTGCTAGTGGCCATAATTTGGGAAGACTCTGCAGGAGACAGAGTTAAAACTGTGTACAAGCCAGGAGGCTGAATCTTTGTTGGTATTTCTTGATGGTGGATACCCCTGCGTGGGAAGCATTTGTGTTATTTGAACTTTCTTTAAATAAAAGTGGGCAAAAAAGCCCTTAAAGAAGCGAGTTGCTGTGTGCTTAAACAAGAAAAGCTCTACCAGTTGTAGCGAGTTCCCACATATGGTGGAGGATGCGGGCAGAACTAGAGGTCCCAGCAATGAAGTAAGTTCATGTGTTGAACTGTGTTTGGTGCATGACTCTGCACTATCTGTGTGTGCAGGTGAGGAGATCCTGCAAGAGAAAAGGAACTTGCCTTAAAGAGACAGTGCTCCATTGTGTTGCTGGACTGTGCAAAATTGTTGTAGAGTGACTGCAAGTATGAGGCATGCAAAAAGAAAGGACATTATTCTAAGGCGGGAAGATTCCCCAGTTTTTGAGTCTGCTGTAGAGTGGGGTCAGCGCCTTCTGGCAGCAGTGAACCCAGTTAAAGGGGAAGTGCATGCTGTTGCCCCTGGCAATGCTGGTGAAAGGAAATCCGCTTTCTTGGTGCAGAATCCTATACTTGAAAGAGGATGCAGTGTTGGAAGTCCGGCCAAGATACTGCTGCAAGAGCGCTGTTTGCGGTGCAGTGAATGGGGGCACACTGTCTCCAAGTGCCCTTTATCCCAGCTTCCAGTACAAGGTGACAGAACCAGACAAAGGTCTGGGTATGCAATTGGGAAGCCTGCTTGTAGTTCCAGGAAGGAGCAGCAGGCTGCCCAAAAATTTCAGAAGAATGTGGTTGCCCATAGCAACACCTGTGACTTCAGGCCTGCGTACCCTGTGAGAGAAGTGTCGTCTACAGAGGATTGTGGCAACGCAGAGATGAGAGTTCAGCACATCTGGAGGAACCCACAAAGTTCAGCTGGGAGAGTGCCATCTCCCATAGCAACAGGAGAAAGCCTGCCAACCAGGAGAAGGGCTACAAGGGAGATGTGGTTCCTTATCCCAAGAAGGTTATCGGTGGAACCATACCCTGCCTGGAATGTGGTCAGTTTGGGCATGGTATCTTTACCTGCCCCAGATTATGGAATACCACTGATGAGGGTGTTACTGGGCAAAAGTCTTCATCTGCAAGCCCAGATTCATGTTTAAAAATGTTGGCAGCCACCTCTAGCAACAGTGAAGTACCTGTTGTGCCTGCAGGGGGTGCCAAGGAGTCAGAAGTGCCTGCCACAGTATCATCCTATAGCTGCATGGATGAACTGGCTGGCCAAAGCCCAGCAGAGGAGATGACCGAAAGGATCCAGATACCACGCACTCAAGTGAAGAGGTGAAGCCTGTTGAAGTGGTGGGTAAGACTGGTACTTTTGAGAAAAATGTGAGAGATACTAATGCACTGATTGAGACTGACTTTGAGACTCTCTGCTATAAATTTGGGATACTCCCAGTTGGGAAACCCACTGCTGGTGATTGTGAGAAAGACTTGCCTCTGTATAATGCTTTTAGTGGGGAGGCAACGGTTAAAAATGTCAATGTGGAGAGTACTGATATTGGGGTTGCACCAATGTCCTCTGAAGAGAATGCTGAATTAAATGTAGTAGGGGTGACCACTAAGCAGGATGTGTTATCTCCCCTAGCAACAATGGGTAAGGTAACCCAGGATAACTATGATGTTGCTCTGGTGGACCAGAGTGTATCTGAATTGAGTGATGAGAATTTGTTATTTCACTGTGGCAATGGTGAATCTAAAAGGTATGAACGTATTCATGATGATGGGTTAATGCAATCCACTAATGCTAAAGTTTTTGTAGTGAATGACACGCCACTAGGTCACAGTGGTGAGAGTAGGAAATTGCAACCTGCTGTGCCTAGAAAAGGAGTCTTCCAGTGTGATATGGATAATGAAGATATAGGTAATGGGTCTGATACAGAGCCACTCTGTCCCTCTGTGTCTCCTTCAGCGACTGGAGTGGAACTGCGTAGTACCTCTGATGGGATCACAGGGACGATGGACTGGGACAGATGGGCAACAAGCTTGTTGGCATTAATAAAAGATGCCTCTGTGGGTAACAATGGGGTGGACATGGTTTCTGCTGTGCTGAATAGAGGGACTGTGGAGCAGCTATTAGTCCAGGGCGCACCTGTTGCTGCCAAAATTGACCCACTGCTGGTAAAAGGCACCGTTAAGGATAAACGCTCAGCAGAAGTTTTGCCCACAGCCCATAAAGGAGTTAATGGTGTGGTATACCAAACTGATATCCATAGAGAAGCCATGGAAGAGCTCATTGACACCGAGCCTCAGAGTATTTGGGTGAATCCCACACCTGGTTACGCTCTGGGAGAGCCCCAGGTTATTGTATTGGGTACCTCCAGCGAGAGAGGAAGCCTCTTTAAGAAGCACCACCTCTGAGGCATCAGTAAATGAGTGTCTCCATGTCTCCAGGAAGATCTTATGTGTGGAATCAGGCTGTCTTTTTATAACAGACCTGCTGAAGGAAATGTTAGCCTTCTGGAGTGTACAGCCGGTGTATACCTTGCTGTCTCTTCCATGTTCGGGAGAGCTGGTACAGTGGAGTCCCACTAATTGGAGCTTGGTATTACAGGCTATACAAAACAAAGATGATCAATATAGGAATTCTGTGATACCATCCTTGTTGGTAATGGTGAAAATTGTCTTTCAGTGCATGGCTGGGTTGCTTCATAGCAGTAATCTGTATGAGAGGCACACCAGAGTACTGTTGGACAGGACAGAGGTTTGGGCAGAAGTGCCGGAAGACACATGTATATGTGATGGGGTTGGGGTCATCTACCCAAATGCAGAATTATGTAAGGATGGTTTGGCATCAGGACAGTTGCTGGCAGAGTCTTTTGTGACAGTGAAGTCGGTGGATAGTGATGTTTCCATGGGAGATGCCCACTCCGCTGTGTGTAATTCCTCTCCAGAAACTGCCCTGCCAACTACTAGTGAACTGGGTTCTGACAAGAGTATTTTGGCTAATGATAAAAAGGGAAATGTGTTGATGAATTTGGATTGTCTGATTACTATGTGTGATAACAAAAAGAATGGTAGACCTGGTGGTCAAGTTGACATGGTAGCTGGTCATCCTGGAAAAGGTAATGAGTGCTTAACAGACACAACAGAGGTTAAGAGTATAGTAAATAGGCCCCCTACATGTTCAGGAAGGTCACTCTGGAAAAGTTTTCCAAAGGTCCAGTAAACGCCCAAGTTATAAGAATGAAAGGTCTAAGGGAAATAGCCCAAAGCTTAACAAGGGGATGTTAAAAGAGTTTGATACCACAATAAAAGAGCCCATGTCTGTTACTAAAGGGTTTAAAAGTATATCCCCTGTAAAATTAAATGAAGCAAAAAGGGATGGTCTAGAGGAATTTGAGGGAGCAAGTTGTAATATTACAGGTACCAGGCATTTAAAGCTTAGGAGTCAACCCCAGGTTACAAAGGGTACTGAGACTTGTAAACCCCCTAGTGGTAAAAGGACTAGCATAGTCTTAAGAAAATTAGAAAGACCGCGCTTTTGGAAGCGCACTCGTAAAAAGGCACGGGGATGTCGTAGAGCCCAAGTAAGGGGAGACAGGGGAAGTCACCTCTTGGGGCAGGGAGTAGTGTCTCCCCTTGATGAAAATGAAGTCAGCCAGGATTGCACCTTTACAGGTGATAGCCCGCACAGAAGGTCTAAAGCAAGGGTTTTAGGTTTGTGTGTTCCGCCCCCTACGGGGTCAAAACAAAGGGGGGGGGATATGTGGCAGTGCGGTGTCCTGCCACGGCCAAAATAAAGCTGAAAACCCTGGATTCTCAACCAGGCAGGTTGAGGGGCTCCAGAGAGTTGATGGATTGCAGAGGAAACTGGCTTTTCAGTTTCCTCATTTGTTCATTAAGTTTGTTTTGGGATCTGGAGCCTGGAGATTTCAAAGAGATCTGGGAGGGATGAAATCTCCAATCCGGGGTCCGTGTTTTGAGAACCCCCAGCACACTGATTGCACAGGTGTGTGCAGGGCTTTTTGTAGAGGCCTAACCATGGTTCTGGGCTCCACCCCGGCAGACGGAGTCAGGAGGGCTCCAGCCTGGCAGACGGGAGGTCTCTGCCTTGGAGTCAGGTGAAAGCCAGACTAGCTGTGTGCTAGTGGCCATAATTTGGGAAGACTCTGCAGGAGACAGAGTTAAAACTGTGTACAAGCCAGGAGGCTGAATCTTTGTTGGTATTTCTTGATGGTGGATACCCCTGTGTGGGAAGCATTTGTGTTATTTGAACGTTCTTTAAATAAAAGTGGGCAAAAAAGCCCTTAAAGAAGCGAGTTGCTGTGTGCTTAAACAAGAAAAGCTCTACCAGTTGAAGCGAGTTTCCCACAATATATATATATATATATATATATATATATATATATATATATATATATATATATATATATATATATATATATATATATCCATGTTTTTTTCTAAAGGAAGACTGTGATGTTCACTGGCTATAAAAATGTTGCACCTTTAATATTATGTTCACCTGAGTTAATGTTTGATAAGCCTTTACATTTCACATATTTTACTATTTTGTAGCATTAAAACCCCAATTCCAAAAAAGTTGGAACGCTGTGTAAAATCTGCATAAAAACATAATGCAATGAATTGCAAATCCTATAAACCCATATTTTATTCACAATAGAAAATATGTCAAATGTTTAAACTGACAAAATGTACCATTCTAAGAAAAAAAAAAGGTAATTTTGAAATTGTTGGCAACAGCATGTTTCAAAAAAGTTGGGTCAGGGCAACAAAAAACTGTTAAAGTTAATGGCTAACAAGTAAGAGGTGGAAGAAAATTTTGCAAGAAGAAGAATCAGTGTCTCAGAAGTAAAGATGACCAGAGGTTCACCAATCAGTGAAAAGCTGCCTCTAAAAATTATCAAACAATTTCAGAATTATGTTGCTCAACGTAAAATTGCAAAGACATTAAATATGTGTGCAAGAAACAAGGCC